GGCTATTATGGACATTTTGTAGAACTACAGTGGAGTACCAGCCCTTGGTCGTCGGAGCAACATGCGGTGGTCATCTGTCCATGGAACTGCAGTGCCCCTTTCGTCGTCGGAGCAACGTGCGGTGGTCATCTGTCGTCCATGGGGCGCATCCGCCTCTTGTTGACAAAGATACGCCACGTAGGAAAATTACTTCTGGTCCTGGTCTCCTTGGCAACAACGGATCCTGTGTTTGTGGCCCGTGTGGAACCAAAGGTCTACCGATATATATACAGTGTAGCTTGGGCATGGATCCACCTCCACCGTACGGTGCCCCCGTGATGAATGGCATGGCATGAAGAGCCGGGCCACTGTCATTGTTTCAATTCCTAGGCGACTTTTCCATGGCCGTAGTTTGAAAAAGATGGGCTTGGATGTTGCAAGCAACTTGCAACAGAAGATACTCTTGAAGCCAAACAGAATCGATCACCTCCGTCCGTAGCTTGAAAAAGATGGGCTTGGATGTTGCAAGCAACTTGCAACAGAAGATACTCTTGAAGCCAAACAGAATCGATCACCTCCGTCAGTATCTTCTGTTGCAAGTTGCTTGCAACATCCAAGCCCATCTTTTTCAAACTACGGCCATGGAAAAGTCGCTTGACTCTTGAAGCATCCAAGCCCATCTGTTTGGCTTCAACAGAAGATACTAAAGAGCTACACTAACCAAACTAACAAACTCTCATAACTAGCTACACTAAAGAGCTTGACAACTAGTTTGCGGTAATATAAAGAGAGTGAGCAAGATGATTATACCGCCGAGTCGAAGAATGAACCAATCAATCACAAGAATTAATATCAATGAAGACCAATCACCTCGGAATTAAATGTTGACATAATGATTTTTTACCGAGGTCCACTTGCTTGATGGCAAGCTAGTCCTAGCTATGGTGATTCATTTATTTGGAGGTTCACGCGCTAATTGGCATCACACGCCAAACCCTCAATAGGGTGTCGCACAACCAACACAAGATGAGGATCACACAAGCCACGAGCAATTCACTAGAGTATCTTTTGGCTCTCCATCGGGGAAAGGTCAAGAACCCCTTATAATTACCACGATCAGAGCCGGAGACAATCACCAACCTCCGCTCGACGATCCTCGTTGCTCCAAGCCGTATAGGTGGCGGCAACCATCAAGAGTAACAAGCGAATCCCGCAGCGAAACACGAACACCAAGTGCCTCTAGATGCAAACACTCAAGCAATGCACTTGGATTCACTCCCAATCTCACAAAAGATGTTGAATCAATGATGGAGATGAGTGGTAGGGCTTTGGCTAAGCTCACAAGGTTGCTATATCAATGCAAATGGTCAAGAGAGTGAGCTTGAACCAGCCACGGGGCTTAAATAGAGAGCCCCCACGAATAAAGCCGTTGGCTCAATTATTGGACTGACTGCGCATCGACCTCGTGTCCGATCACTACTTGACCGCCACGTGTCCAATTCAAAATGAAGTAGCCGTTGCTGCCACGAGTACCACACACTCACCTGCGACCGGACGCGTCCGATGTGGATGACCGGACGTAGGAGACTCAGCGTCCGGTCGAGTCCAGAGAGCTCCTCGAGCATCTCTGGGACGACTGGACGCGACCGGTCACACTAGACCGGACGCAGGAGACTCAGCGTCCGGTCGAGTGCAGAGAGCTCCTAGAGCCACTCTGGGCCGACCAGACACGTCCGGTTACACTGGACCGAACGCTCCTAGAGTCCGATCAATTTTAACGCTGAGAACCCGAGGCTCACTGATTCACACCGGACGCGTCCTGTGTGGCGACCGGATGCATCCGGTCGCTCTCTGCAATTCAGTACCGAGCCACATCACTTTGACCGGATGCTGAACAGTAACTCCTCAGCGTCTGGTCGCTCCACTGAGCCAGATTCCGGTCGTTAATACCGGACGCATCCAGTCACCATACCGGTCGCGTCCGGTCACTCTGTGACCAGCGCGACTAACTCCTTTTCAACTCTATCTTCTTCACCCTTGCTCAAATATGCCAACCACCAAGTGTATCACCTTGTGCACATGTGTTAGCATATTTTCACAAACATTTTCAATGGTGTTGGCACTCCACTAGATTCTAAATGCAAATGTAATGAGTTAGAGCATCTAGTGACACTTTGATAACTGCATTTTGATACGAGTTTCACCCCTCTTAATAGTACGGCTATCGAACCTAAATGTGATCGCACTCACTAAGTGTCTGGATCACCGAAACGAAAAGGCTCCTACCACTTATACCTTTGCCTTAAACCTTTTGTTTTTCTTTTACTTCTTTTCCAAGTCCAAGCATTTGATCATCACCATGGCAACACCATCATCATGTCATGATCTTCATTTGCTTCACCACTTGGAGTAGTGCTACATATCTCATAATCACTTTGATGAACTAGGTTAGCACTTAGGATTTCATCAATTCATCAAAATCAAACTAGAGCTTTCAACCTCCACGTGAAGCACGTAGACGTGCCGGCGGGCGCAGTCATGCGCAACTGCCTCGAGCGTCCGGCTGGGCGCTAGTAGTTCGCTAACCGGAGTCCTTAATTTTTGCATTTGATTTTCCAGCTTTCTTGTGAATTCTTGGTAGTGCTACTATATTAGAGGGTTTCTGTGGGACGCAAGATCTTCACAGGAGTCATACATAAATTTTCAGAATTTTTTTTTTCGTTTTTATAAAGTTATTAAAAGACTCACGTTCCAAGGGGACATGAATATCAAAAAAGTAAAATGTTTTCTACAATGCGAAAGAGTGGTCTGGTCATAGAGAGAATATAGACCGAAACCAACGTGTGTTGCGTGATGCCTTTTTTTTTTTTCTGACAAACGGCTCATGTATATTGACTGAATGAGCGATGCGAGTGGGAAAATTTGACAAGGAGATGTTAGCCCGTAGGCGTAAACTTGTTTTTTCAAACGAATATAAGCCTAACATACGCCTTGGAGTTAGTTGGTCGAGCAATACTGTAACGCTAGCTGCAGCCGGCAGCGCCACCGCAACGACAACGCATCTTGTCAATTAGGGAGTAAAATTGAACAGCGCCTCGTTACATGCATTTGAATTATAAATTTAACTATATATATATATATATATATATATATATATATATGGAAATTATTTTCTACTCCCAAGGAGTAGTTACTCCCATGTGTATATATCTAGATTTAGAACGTATATGGCCTGACGAAATGTATGTAGATAGAGTATATCATCGTACTAGACCATCTAGGGTATTATATATGACAAGTATATATATGTATGTTTAGAGTATATGGTTATACTTATTTTATATGCTACTATCACCTATTCGGCTTACCCTATATTCAGTTTGTTCGGCTTGTCTTTTCAGCCGGAACAATATTTTTCTCTCACAACAATTCAGTCAGAACAGTGTTTTTCAACCAGTTTCAGTTAAGATTCAGCAAGCCGAACGGAGCCATAGTATTATATAATATATTAAAAAATATGTGCTCTTTTGAATTTTTTTTACATAGTAAAGATCTGGAGTATCTTAATATTAGTATGTCAACATACTCAAACTGATAAATGAATATGTACACATAAGCAACGTGATTTATTGATTATGGGAGTAACTAGTATATAAAATGCACCATATATATATATATATAAATCCATAATCATGATGAGCAAGTATCACTAGATTGATTGCCACATATATTTTCATGGTAAACATATGTAAAAAAATAAAAATATTGATATTGTTTTTTTTTGTATAAACAAACCTAGATCCTGTTTGGGACCATGTTCACCGATCGCGTGGGGCGTTATGGGTGCACGGCGAGCGACCTGCGATACGTAAAACTTTATCACTAGTTTAATTGTTATTAGGCGGTGGCTGATCAAGTCTGTTCGGTGGCAAGAATCGAGGTAACCGCGGGACGTTTCGCAGGATTCTGCGATTTCTCTCGGCCACGCGCGCGGTTTCAAATAGGGTCCTCGTAAAACTCGAGATTGTTTCACGCATCCAGAAGTGTTATTTACTCTTTTCGCGACCAGAGAGTATTTGGCAAGGGGACGGATTTATTTATTTTCAAAAACACCAACCCCACCCACCGGGGGCACGATTGCATGGAACTAGGATTCTTTTTTCAGTTAATTACCCCACCCATCGGTGGCAGCAGCAACACACATGGTGCCGATCAAACAAAAAAAAGAAGCAGAAGCAGCAACACACATGGTAAGGCAATCAATCATCCCTTGCCAAAATCGACGAGCGTCCAATAATTGGAATTAACTATTTAATCCATCCATCAATACCATTTTCATCTTTTTTATAGTAAAATAATGAATCAATACCACTAATTTCGCTACACGCAAATCAGTGGCAATCTACAGCCTGATCGCTGGGGCTGGGCTGGCTGGCCAGCCCCCTCACATGACTACTATTCACATGAACCAGCCAGCAATATTTCTCTCTTACATAACAGTATTTCTCTCTCACATAAACGAACCAGTAACGATACGAACATTAGACTTTTGTCGTAGCTAGCGCGCCATCGTGGCGGTGGGCCCGGTGGTGGTCCAACCGCCGTACCGTACTTGACATGAGGACGGCCCAAAGCAGAAAGCAGCCATCGGAGATGGACACCTGCCGCGGCAGTCGCATACAGGAGGTCCGACCTGGGGAGGCGCCCGCTGATTGGGCTCAAGCCGCGCAGGCCCCACCCAGACAAGTGGGCCCTTGCCGGCGAGTCAACGTCCGGCAGACCACGACAGGCGACCGCGAGAGGTGGACGGGGGTGGATGGGCGGCGTCCTCTCCTTTTCTTTATCGATATCCTTTCTTTATTATTTGTAGTCGCCATCGCGATCGCGACTACGGGATCTGCTCTGCTTCCTCTCCTCCTCTCCTCCTGTGGCCAGTGGCTGTGCAACGAAAACCCCATCCCATTCCACACGTCCGGTGCCCGGTGGTGGGTGGGGAGGGGCCGCGCGCCGGGCCGGCCGGGATGGAGTGGCTGGAGAAGAACCTGCAGGAGAAGTTCGATCTGCCGCCCAAGAACCGCTCCGAGGAGGCCCTGCGCCGATGGCGCGATGCCGTCTCCGTCGTCAAGAACCCGCGCCGCCGCTTCCGCATGGTCGCCGACCTCGCCACGCGCCACCAGAACGAGCTCAAGCGACGATCCACACAGGTACCCTACCGTGCCTACTACTCCTGCTCATCCTCATCCTCCTGATTGGGGCTTCCCTGCCGCCGGCACAACCACTCTGCTTGCTTGGTGCTTGCAGCTTCCTTCCCGGCTTCCCCACCTCCCTCCCTCTTCGTCTTCGTTCCTTCTTGCTCTCATGAGGCAAGACAGGATCTCTCCTTCCTCCCTGCATCTCAACCTTTTCGTTTCTTTTCTCCTGCTACATCCTTTTCAAGCCCCCACCTAACGCCCCATTCGCTTGGGTTCGTAGGCTGATATGTCATGGATGAGAGTACCGTAAGCTGATTTAGTGTGAAAGAAAAATTATTATTTGTTAATTAAAAAAGTACGGTTTATAAACTAAATAAGTTTAAACAAACAGGGTGTAAACCGTTCCAAACTCTCATTTCACTTAGGCCCTGTTTGGCTCAAGCTCCTAAAAGTTTTAGGAGCTTTTATAAGGCTGCTAAAACCTTCTAAAATAGTGTTTGATTTCATCTCTAAAACTAATTAAAAGTAATAAATACACTAGCAAATAGACCATGCAGCTCTCCTATAGGAGAGAGAGGGGGCAGGACAATAAAAGAGGGGTAGTGGGGGTCTAGGATGGACTTTAGGAGTTATTAGGAGGGGTGGAGCTCCTAAAGTTTTTTTTTTTTGTCTCTCTTAGAGTTTTTAGAAACTTTTAGAAGAAGGTGTTTGATTTTTTAGACAAATTCTATCTAGATTTTAGCTCCTAAAATTTTTAGGAGAATAACTAAACAGGGCCTTAAAAGATTGACCTGATGAGCAATTTAGACAGTCCATTCCGGCTAACTGAATCTGCTTCTCCTGTTGTGTCCTCTGCCTGGTAAAAGCGATTGCATAGAACTGCTGCAGATTAGACACACCACCAGAACCAGATCGCGACACCACGCCTCGCTCACTTTCCACAATCCTGTCCAGTTACTACGATCCACAACTGTATCAGTGGCGCATTAGGGAACGGACGGGGAAGGGACACCAAAAGGGGGCAGCTTTAGCGTTTCTGTTGCCGTACAGCCGTAGCACTGCACACTCCGTTCAGATGCCCGGAGGAGAGGGGAGACGATCGATGTCCCTCCGTTCATGGACCGACAGGTTCACATGCTCACGGGCCAAATTGCAGTAACGGGCGTAACTTCCGGGAAGGAAGGATCCCACATCCCGGATTCCCAGTGATGTAGGGTAGGATAGGAATGGCCACAATGACAAGTACACACACGCACCACCTCACCTCACGTGCTGGCCACATCTTATTGGTCCTGTCGGTGCAGGCCGCCCCACTTGCACATAATAATATCTCACAACTGCGACTGCCATCCTCGCTCATTTGTCATTTGTCTCCATTTAATTTACTTACGGGCTAGTGTGTACGGTCAGGTTTGGCGCATAGGGTGGGTACAAATTCCGTTTCGTAGAAACTGTTAAAGAAGAAATGCTACTTTGTTAATACTGAACTATAAGTACTCTGTATTTGTTTGTATCTCATGTCTTACTATATAACCCAAGGAAAGAACTAATTAGTAGTGTCTTACAACATTAATCGGTTGATGCCAAATGGCTAACCTAACTTTTCCTATTGTTTGCTTAGGAGAATCCAACGTTTTAGATGCTCTAGGTTTGGGGCAGGTTTAGTGTGGGTACTGATTCATTTTCGGGAAAAAAACAAAAGAAGAAATGGTACTAAATGACAAGTACTGCGCATTTGTTTGTATCTCATATCCTGTTTTGTCTGTTACAAGGAAAGGACTAATGAATAGTATTTTCTACTATTGGTTACTTTGATGCCAAATGACTCATCTAATTTTTCGTGTTTCTTCCTTAGGAGAATCCAGTGTTTTGTCAAACTGGACTTAATTTATGGATTAGTGTATATGCTCTAGGTTTGGCGCATACAATTAGTGTGGGTACAGATTCAATTTTAAATAATACAAGAAGAAATGCTAGTCTGTTACTAAACTACAAGCACCGTGCTTTTGTTTGTATCTCGTGTGTTGTTATGTTTGTGATAAGGAAAGCACTAGTATATATCTTATACAAAGCTGACTCTTTTTTTTATTCACCAGGAAAAAATCCGGGTCTTCCTCTATGTACAGCAGGCTGCGCTCAATTTCATCGATGGTACTACATACCTTGCCATGTTGCTGTTTTCTATGGTGCTTTGTATTCTTTTGTTAGGGGGGGGGGTGCTTTACTAAACTTGATCTAACTTGTGAACCATCTGATGTGAAGGTGTCAAAAATAAAGAGTACCGGCTAACTGATGATATTATCAAGGCTGGGTTTTCCATCAACCCAGACGAGCTGGCGTCGATCACAGGCAAGCATTATATGAAAGTTTTGGAGATGCATGGCGGGGTAGATGGGATATCCACAAAAATACGTTCGTCATTTGACCATGGCATATCTGCTAGCGACTTGGATACTAGGCAAACCATCTATGGTGTCAATCGCTATGTGGAGAAACCTGCAAGAAATTTCTGGATGTTTGTCTGGGATGCGCTGCAGGACATGACTCTTATCATCCTTATGGTATGTGCTCTGATATCTGCTGTCGTTGGTCTGGCATCTGAAGGTTGGCCCAAGGGCATGTATGATGGCCTGGGAATAATACTCAGCATTCTGTTGGTTGTGATGGTTACTGCTATCAGTGACTACAGGCAGTCGCTTCAGTTCAAGGAGCTAGACAACGAGAAGAAGAAGATATTTATCCATGTAACCAGGGACGGCTGTCGGCAGAAGATCTCGATATTTGACTTGGTAGTTGGTGATATTGTGCACCTATCAATTGGAGACCAAGTGCCTGCTGATGGACTGTATGTTCATGGATATTCCCTTTTGATTGATGAATCCAGCTTGTCAGGCGAGAGCGAACCAGTTTATATTTCTGAAGATAAGCCATTCATCTTGGCAGGAACTAAAGTCCAGGATGGATCAGCTAAGATGCTGGTAACTGCTGTTGGCATGCGCACTGAATGGGGAAGGCTGATGAGCACGTTGAGTGAAGGAGGGGAGGATGAGACACCATTGCAGGTTAAGCTCAACGGAGTTGCAACCATCATCGGGAAAATTGGCCTGCTGTTTGCTACATTAACATTTGTTGTCCTGATGGTTAGATTCCTTATCGAGAAAGGTTTGACAGTTGGTCTGTCCCAGTGGTATTCCACTGATGCATTGACTATAGTAAACTACTTTGCAACAGCAGTCACTATTATTGTTGTTGCTGTCCCTGAAGGGCTGCCTCTAGCTGTTACTTTGAGTCTAGCATTTGCAATGAAAAAGCTAATGAATGATAAAGCACTTGTAAGACATCTTTCGGCATGTGAGACAATGGGATCTGCTGGTACTATATGCACTGATAAAACAGGAACTTTGACTACCAACCATATGGTGGTTGACAAGATATGGATATCTGAGGTTTCAAAGTCACTTACCAGTAACAACAGTTTGGAAGATCTGAATTCTGCCATTTCTCCAGCCACATTGAGCCTACTTCTGCAGGGCATTTTTGAGAACACTAGTGCAGAGGTAGTCAAAGACAAGGATGGTGGGCAAACTGTTTTGGGAACCCCGACAGAGAGGGCAATCTTAGAATTTGGATTGAAACTAGAAGGACATCATGATGCTGAAGATAGGAGCTGCACCAAGGTTAAGGTTGAGCCTTTCAATTCAGTTAAGAAGAAGATGGCAGTGTTGGTCTCATTACCCAATGGCAAATACCGTTGGTACACCAAAGGTGCATCAGAAATTATTGTGGAAATGTGTGACATGATGATTGATGGCGATGGAAACAGTGTTCCCTTGTCGGAAGCTCACAGGAAGAGCGTCTTAGGTACTATCAACTCTTTTGCTTCAGATGCTTTAAGAACATTGTGCCTGGCATATAAGGAAGGGGATGATTTCAGTGATGATACAGATAGTCCAACAGGAGGTTTTACTCTAATATCTATTTTTGGCATCAAGGATCCTGTGCGCCCAGGAGTCAGGGATGCTGTTAAGGCCTGTATGTCTGCTGGTATCATAGTACGAATGGTGACCGGTGATAATATCAATACAGCTAAAGCTATAGCCAAAGAGTGTGGAATACTGACTGATGGTGGCATAGCAATAGAAGGACTAGAATTCCGTAACAAAAGCCCAGAGGAGATGAGGGACCTGATACCTAAGATTCAGGTTCATTTCGCTTTCCTCAGCCTACGTGTACAATAGGATGTATGAACATATCATCACTTTTCTCAATTTTATGTATCTTTCAACACTGGCAGGTTATGGCTCGTTCTTTACCACTTGACAAGCATACCCTTGTGACAAACTTGCGAGGTATGTTCAAGGAGGTGGTTGCTGTGACAGGCGATGGTACGAATGATGCTCCAGCATTGCATGAAGCAGATATTGGGCTTGCGATGGGCATAGCAGGAACAGAGGTACTATGTTATAATTCAGTCGTTTGTGGACTTGGTTAAGTGAGAACTGACAAGAATACTTATCGTGAACATACCTCACAAAGTATTTAGTGAATTTTATATTTCATTTTCGGTCCTGCGAAATTAGTTTGTCTCCATGGTCTCACAAAAATTAACATCGAACATATTCACCTCTACTATTCTTGTAAATGTAAAAAAAACTCTTGCTGACTGAATACAGGGCTGGTACCATTAGAAGTTTAGAACTCCTCACTTGCAAGGCCTTGCCGTTTAGCAATTCTGTGTGTCCCTTGAATTGGCTTGAAAGATAACAGTATAACCTTACATATTTCCAGGTAGCCAAGGAGAGTGCTGATGTGATAGTGCTTGATGATAATTTTACAACTATAATAAATGTTGCAAGGTGGGGTCGTGCGGTTTACATAAACATTCAGAAGTTTGTGCAGTTTCAGTTGACTGTCAATATTGTTGCTTTGGTCATCAACTTTGTCTCAGCATGCATTACAGGTGCGGGCATCATCTATAATATTCTTTTTGCAATGCCATGGTTGTTCAATTAGTCATTCTTGATACCTGCTATTGGAGTAACAGTATTTTGACTGTTGCACCACAGGAAGCGCTCCACTCACAGCGGTGCAATTGTTGTGGGTCAATATGATCATGGATACATTAGGAGCTTTAGCTCTAGCAACAGAGCCGCCAAACGATGACATGATGAAGAGGCCGCCTGTTGGGCGAGGAGAGAGTTTCATTACCAAAGTCATGTGGCGAAATATTATTGGGCAAAGTTTATATCAGTTGGTTGTACTTGGAGTTCTCATGTTTGGTGGGGAACGTCTTCTGAACCTCAAGGGTGCAGATTCCAAATCTGTTATCAATACACTCATATTCAACTCCTTTGTGTTCTGCCAGGTGAGTACATTCACCATTACCAGTTCATTTTCTGTTGTAATGCCTATGGTGATGCTGAGGTCAATTTCATTCCAAACTATTTGCCTCTAGCTCCGTCTTCCATTTATAGCCTAAACTGATAGAGATATATGCAATGCAAACAATATGTTGCTAGTTATCTGGTTGGGGGAGGATCTCTACATTTTAACTATTTTCCATATTGTCTGATCAAGGAGAACATAGTATCTGTCAGTCTGATGATAACCTGTTATCATGTCACATCAGGTGTTCAATGAAATAAACAGCAGGGAAATGCAGAAGATCAATGTTTTCCGTGGTATGTTCAGCAACTGGATCTTCATTGGAATCATAGCTGTGACAGCAGCGTTCCAAGTGGTGATCATCGAATTCCTCGGCACCTTTGCCAGCACCGTTCCACTTAGCTGGCAGCTGTGGCTGGTAAGCATCAGCCTCGGATCCATCAGCTTGATCGTCGGTGTCATCCTGAAGTGCATACCAGTTAAATCAGATGGAATTCGCGCGAGTCCAAATGGCTACGCACCGCTTCCCAGCGGTCCTGACAACATATAGCTGGAGAAGAGAAGAGCGACAACGGAGAAGGTACTACTGAAGTACTGTGTTCGCTAGCCTTAGCGGATTCATGAGAACCTCAGGAGCACTGCGGCTACCTTATATTTTTGGGACCTGTTCGGAATAATTCCACTTGTTCTAGGTTCAGTGATTTTCACATGAAGGAACCTTGGGACCAACCACTATCTAGGTTCAGTTTTAACAGATTATTCTGTGCCTTGCAACTGCTCGTGTTTGCAGTTGGTGGTACTGTGTAAAAAGACATGGTGGTGAGCACAAGGCACTCTACTTTCATGGGTCATGGAAACGAAGCCTCTCACTAATGGAAGTACATTAATTGACTCTCTGTTCTTGGAGTACATTAGGCCTGTTCGGCTGGCTTTGTTTGCAGCTGTTGACCTTCGTGCAACCACACCGTGTGACTGACAGCGCGATCGGTTTCTGCCTACGAGCCAAGCCATGAATGTCGAAAAGGCCCATATGACCGTTTTATTTCTCATCCTTCCTTGCAGAGGAAGGCCCGGCCCATTTGTGCTTGAGCACGCTGGTCGCGTCCTCTGACACCGGTTCGCCCTTCGCCTAACCCCAGTGCGTTTCTTTCTCTTCCTTCCTTGCCGAGAAAACCCCTACAACTGTGATCTGTCTTTACCTAGTTTTTTGTCCATACATTGCAACGAGAGCTAGAAAATATGACATATGGTAGGGTAACATGTCTTATATTAGACCAATACAAGTAAGGCCAGCTCGAGTTCTTTCTCGGTCAGGTACGTCCAACCTAAGCTAAAAGCTAGGGTTTCACCTAATAATCGGAGACACACGGCTCTTCAGATATATCCGATAAAATTGGAACCAGTGTCAAGTCGGTCAAGGAGCAGGAGTAGCAATTGGTTACGCAAACTGTTCTGTTGTACTTGCATTGGCCACGTACATAAGAAACACACCAATCATTGAGGATATAGTTGTCCCAAAAAAAAATCATTGAGGATATAGTCAGGTAGATTGCTCACCATGTCCATCAGTCCTTGTAGTTGTATAGTTCATTGATGAACAACCTCATTTTATAGTTATCAAATCCTTATCCTATCTGTACTACTTTCCCAACAACAATCGAGATACAACTGCTGGCAGACATGTTACACAACAATTCAGGTGATTTTTCAAAAGCATATAGTTCCTACTTATCCACAATGGCCAATAATAGATACGATTGTCACTTCACAAGGTCTTGTTAGTAAGCAAGGAGGGATTAGCCGCCGTTGTCACTTCCGGTGTGCTCAACGCGTAGCTCCAGCACACTAGAATATATAGGGTCATCGCTTGCATTTAGGAACTTCAATATTGCAAATCTGCCACATTACAGTTAACTTTTATAGTGCAAACAGGTCACCAACACTATTGATCTCTCTGTTGTATGGATTTACAACAAATAGTACTAATGCAAAGTATTTTTTTTTTACCTTTTATGGGCTCTTTGGTCCTCCCGGTTCAACGATAGCCTTAACGCTTTTTAGGCCCCGTTTGGGAGGGCTCCTCTTCAGCTCTGGCTCCGGATCCTCTGGAGGAGCTCTTGGAGGGGAGTCTTTCCAAACACACCCTTAGTTGTCAAGAAAAGATAGAAATGTTCACGCTTCTACAGAACACACAATCCCTACCAACCCATCACTGTCTGGTTGTAAGCCTATTTATATCTAAAGCAAAAGTCTCACTTTCCTCCTCCTCCTCCTCTTGTCTTCCAAGTACTTCATGCAGTTCCTAGACCAATGTCCAAGGTCGTCACAAATGGAAGCATTTGTGCTTAGGAGATGGGCTAGGTTTGGTCTTTACATTTGGCTTTGGCTTTGTGATCTCATATTCAGCCCTGCCTTTGCTTTTGTCCTTACCCTTCATAAAGTGTTTTCTCTTTCTACTATCCTTCTGAACCATCATCACAAGATTTAGGCTTTTCTTAATGCTCTCATTGGCCGATTTAAACATCCCATGCAACTCAGCTAGAGTCTTCTCCATGATGTTATGTGAAAGTTCATAATGAATGGCTCAAAGCTTGGACGCAGAGACCGAAAGGCACTACACCACAACACTAATGTAGCGTCACACGTGTGTCGTTATAAGTTCACTAATACCGTTGAACTGTTGGTTGGTATAGCTGGCCTACAGATCAAGTGTCAGTAAATGTACCTTTTGCATTGAACTATCGGTCGGTATAGATATTTGGCTGTATAGTCGAACCGTCGGTCGGGATAGATAAACAAAGAAGGACGAACCTTCGGTCGGTATAGAGTGGTGCGCGCTTTGAAAAAAAAGGCCCATTCGTGGGAAGATAAAGATGGGCCTTCACGCTAGCAGCCCAACTCAACACCAACTCTCTCAACCATAACCCCCACGTCCAGACTCCCCCCCCCTCTCCCAATCTTCCAAAGCCGCCGCCCGACACTTGATCTGTTGTCACTTATAGGAAAACCCAACTTGTCAAGGCTCTCAATGTAACCCATCATCATGATTACATGAGGACTGGTTGGACTACCTTCTGCTAGCTTGCATGAAAACATGGCTTCTGAGATCGAATATCTCTCAACCCTAACTTGGTTCATCAACATGCCATGGAGTTCCTCAATCATAGTGTAGGCATCTGCATGCTCATATTGCTTTTGAAGCTCAGAGGGCATGGTGGGAAGCATGAGACAACTAACATTTAGGTAGGCATCTCCTTCATAGCAGGAATCATCGGGTCCAACCAGTCGGACCCGAGCATCCCGCCGACCACCTCTGTATTGAATAACGAAGAATATATGTGATGGGCCACAGTTTCGAAGGGTCGGCCCACGAGTCCGCAGCCTCAGCGCATCGCTGTGTTCAGGTGCGTTTCTTTCTTTCTTTTTCCTTTATAGTTTTATCTATTTGTTTTTTCTTCTTTCCTTAATTCTTTTCTATAGTTTTCTTTTTCTTTTTATTTTCTTTATTTTTTTATCTTTATTTGTTTTTTCTTTTCTTTTTTTGGAACTTCTTTCGCTGCTGTTAGTGCATCAAGTATTAGTGCGTCATGTAGTGCTGCTGCTTTCTTATTCTTTTATATTTATATTTTATTTATTTGTTTTCCATTTCTTTTTTTTCTTTTTTGTTTTCTTTCCTTGCTTCTCTTTAGTTTTTTTATTTTTCTTTCTTTTATGTGTTCTTATCCTTTTATTTTTTATTAGTTATATCATTTCTTTCTTTTTCCTATAATTAATTATTTTGTTTATTTTATTTTTTGTATTCTTTTTTATTTTCCTTTGTTTTCTTCTATTTATTATTTCTTTCACTTTTGTTTTATGTTTTCGGTGGATTTTCTTTTTTTATTTTGTTTTATTTTTGTTCTTCTTTTACTCTAATTATTATTTTTTATTTCCATCGCTATGTATATTAGATGTTTTATGTTTTTTAAGTTTTTTTTATTTATATGTTGCATTAGATACATATCATGTTCGTGTAGTATCCAAGTGGATTTTTTTAACAATTTTATTTTTCTCTTCCTTATTTAATCTAGCCCTTAGTCTTTGAACACCGGATTGCCGCTCGAGCGAATAGATAAATGAACCAAATGAATGGAACGCAATGAGAACGAAACGTTGGTTATTGATTTAGAGAATCATTGTTCCATCCTCCCCCTTACAAGTAGCCATATGACCGTTTTATTTCTCATCCTTCCTTGCAGAGGAAGGCCCGGCCCATTTGTGCTTGAGCACGCTGGTTGCGTCCTCTAACACCGGTTCGCCCTTCGCCTAACCCCAGTGCGTTTCTTTCTCTTCCTTCCTTGCCGAGAAAACCCCTACAACTGTGATCTGTCTTTACCTAGTTTTTTGTCCATACATTGCAACGAGAGCTAGAAAATATGACATATGGTAGGGTAACATGTCTTATATTAGACCAATACAAGTAAGGCCAGCTCGAGTTCTTTCTCGGTCAGGTACGTCCAACCTAAGCTAAAAGCTAGGGTTTCACCTAATAATCGGAGACACACGGCTCTTCAGATATATCCGACAAAATTGGGTCAAGGAGCAGGAGTAGCAATTGTTTACGCAAACTGTTCTGCTGTACTTGCATTGGCCACGTACATAACAAACACACCAATCATTGAGGATATAGTTGTCCCAAAAAAAAAAATCATTGAGGATATATAGTAGTCAGGTAGATTGCTCACCATGTCCATCAGTCCTTGTAGTTGTATAGTTCATTGATGAACCACCTCATTTTATAGTTATCAAATCCTTATCCTATCTGTACTACTTTCCCAACAACAATCGAGATACAAATGCTGGCAGACATGTTACACAACAATTCAGGTGATTTTTCAAAAGCATATAGTTCCTACTTATCCACAATGGCCAATAATAGATACGATTGTCACTTCACAAGGTCTTGTTAGTGAGCAAGGAGGGATTAGCCGCCGTTGTCACTTCCGGTGTGCTCAACGCGTAGCTCCAGCACACTAGAATATATAGGGTCATCGCTTGCATTTAGGAACTTCAATATTGCAAATCTGCCACATTACAGTTAACTTTTATAGTGCAAACAGGTCACCAACACTATTGATCTCTCTGTTGTATGGATTTACAACAAATAGTACTAATGCAAAGTATTTTTTTTTTTACCTTTTATGGGCTCTTTGGTCCTCCCGGTTCAACGATAGCCTTAACGCTTTTTAGGCCCCGTTTGGGAGGGCTCCTCTTCAGCTCTGGCTCCGGATCCTCTAGAGGAGCTCTTGGAGGGGAGTCTATCCAAACACACCCTTAGTTGTCAAGAAAAGATAGAAATGTTCACGCTTCTCTGAGAACACAATCCCTACCAGCCCATCAACATGGGTTGTAAGCCTATTTATATCTAAAGCAAAAGTCTCACTTTCCTCCTCCTCCTCCTCTTGTCTTCCAAGTACTTCATGCAGTTCCTAGACCAATGTCCAAGGTCGTCACAAATGGAAGCATTTGTGCTTAGGAGATGGGCTAGGTTTGGTCTTTACATTTGGCTTT